TACCAAGTTATACCAAATTATTTAACCATTCAAAAATTTACAAAACTTGCAAGTTATACCAAATTGCACTTAGTTGGCCACAGTAATGAGTCATACCGTGGAATGGCTAGAGTCCGACACAGTTTGTTCTGAGTCATTTACAAATGGTTCACTGTCATTCGAACTATCAGGGACTCCGACTTRGCGTTGTCCTTGAGATGTTTCACCAACATAACTTGCGTTCTTCGTGCGCGGCATTTATCTTRGAAAAACCAAACAAACCCAACATTATAACTTCCYAAATCGGTTAAGCATTTTAACCTAATTTCATCGCGAATTCTACTCGGATTTGAATATAGGAAATAGATTCGAACTTAACTTGGAATTAGATTTCGTTTTAAGAATAATTATCCTTGGTTGTACTTGGTTGAACTTGGTTGAACTTGGTTGAGAAGAAGCGAAGAGAGGGAGAGTTGAATGTTGTCGCGGACTTGTGTTTTTTCTAAAAAGGAAGTTGATTCGATTTCGGGTTAAAGAGGAGAGGGAGAGTGGAATCCGAATTAAACGGGTTTGGGTGTGGGTTGATCGAATTCGGTAGGTTGTACTTGGTTGAACTTGTAGAAGAAGAAGTGAAGAGAAGAYYGAGAYTTCGCGGTATTGAAATTTTTTTTWAAAAAGAAGTTGATTCGAAATCAGTTTTCTCGGGTTAAGGAGGAGTGAGAAAGTTGGATCCGAATAAAACGGGTCGGGTGTGGTCCGTAATTAAGAAATTTTAGTAAGGGTTTTTTGGTATTTTTCCTATTTTTCGATTTTTTTCCACAAAATTTAAATCAAAAATAAAATTTTATTTGGTTGGAGGTTATATGTGATTTAAAAAAAAGTCACAAGGGCATTGGAGGACATGGTCATAACCCATTGAAAACCTAATAACACAAAATTTGTAGGCTAATATGGGCAGTATAGTCAGCATTTGGATAAAGAACCTTTATTTGCACAAAATGTCGGTATAAAATCGAAATCATTTTCTTTTTATATAAAACACTAGACAGTAGATATACGAATGTTTTTCTATTATATAAACAGAACTTTATAAATGAGAGAAAACAAAAAAGTTATCACCATACTTGTTCACTTCTCCACACACACAAAAC